GAATGCAAGACCCACTCGTATCTACTTAAATGGGGAAATACATAAAACTTTTCCAAACTCACATTTACATTTCAAATCAGCAAAACATCTGACATCGACTGTCACAAAAATGTTGTTTCTTATGCTCGAATAGAATTAAAAAGCATAGATTTCAGGCTGGTTAAGCCAATGCGCATGTGCAATCCCACAAAAAGAGCAGTTGCACTATGAGTCATATGAGTGAAACATGTCTGTACATATTCTTTGGTCATGCTCTGTTCACGAAGAGTATTCATCCATTTAATCCATAGACATTTTATTGGTATTTTAAACTACATTTAGATCACTGAGAAAAAAATCTTTTTCATCACTCTAAAAGTACAATTGATATCAATTTTATATTAAATAAAACCTTGTTTCTAGTTATTACAACAAAGTTTAATGGAAAAATGTAAATATTTAACAAGAAATTTGAAAAAAAAAATCTTTTTTTTTCCAAATTGTTCTAAATTTAAAAGAATAGCAAAGTCCACACCACAACTAAAACAATAATGACACGGAGGAACAATATCACTTTCAAAAAAAAAAAAAAAAAAAAATCCAGCTGATAAAGGATACAAACAGAATTCATCTAGCTTTAAAGAGGTTGAGCATTTAAAGCGGCAGATGATAAAACAGCAGTGCCTGCTTATAATAAATAGAATATTGTGCGTTGGTGTTGACGCAAATTAACATGCTTTTATCCGAAGCGACTTCATCTAAATCAGAAAAATAGTACAATGCTAGTTGCCTATAAATCAAGCCTATTAGTCACCTGGTAAACAGTCCTTATCATATCAAACATCCCCTGTCTCAACTGTCTGGCTTTTGCTAGATTGTTCCTGTGCCTTCCTGCAACACAACAGACTCCAGAGTGTGTCTTTTAGATGCCTGTTTGAAGCTGTCAAAAGTAAAGAAGTCATGCCACTGTAAAAACTAAAGGCACTGGCTAGAGTGTGGTAGGTGATAAATTGCCCGATTAACCTTATAATGATGAACAAAGACACAATAAATAGAGTGGTCAGATAAACTCCAACCAGGGAGATGGTGATTTTGCACACCAGGAGGTACGAGTCAGATCCTTGCACCTGGGTCTTGTTCTTCTGAAGTGCCATTGTGTGGGCGCACAGATGGACGACCATTCGGACAGAGGTCGGCAGCATGATCATCAGAGGGATCGGGCAGAGGAGACAAAAGGCAGCCGCTCCGTATGCATTAAAGTTAATATCTATAGTGAAAGAGGGCTGCGGACAGGTTATGTTAGCGGTGTCAGTCACGTTGTCATTTTGATCCAATGAACTTACAAGGTCAAGAGAGAATGCAGGTAAGAAAAACAGGAAGGAGAAAGAACAGCTCAGCAGCACTGCAGCGTTGATCACAGAAGAGATGTTCCTCTTCACTGTCTGGAAGCACTCGGAGGAAAAACTCACGACTTTGATGCAGTAGAAGAGACTCAGCCATGCAATGGCCCAGAAGCTGTTGAAACTGCAAGTCATCATTAGAAAACCTTCAGTCCGGATTGATAAAGGATATGGTTTGATGCACCAAATTTGGGGATCCTGAAAAACACCCATCACCAATGAGAAGGTGGCGAGTACCAAGATAATGTTGCTGATGGAGATGACGTTTAGGATCAAACCCACAGTTTGAATGGTCCTGGTCTTCACTTGCTGTTGTATAGTGAAAACGAGGTTAAATAAGTTTCCAGAAACACCAATAATCACAAGTCCAACAAAAAAAAGAACGTGCCCAGTTAACGTCGCGATCATGATGTTCTCTTCAGAGAGCGAAGCACACAAACCCGAGTCCTGCACTGATATGAGATCTGGAGAGATGCACATTGTCTTGTTGAGAACAGGGAATCAATCTCATATGCAAAGTGGCTTTGCGTGAATGAAAAAGAGCAGGCTTTGTTCAAAGCTGGAAACACAAATTAGGTAAAATGAGAGAAATGCACCATGCTCATTACAGTTCAGCTTACGCAAAACAAAATTATAAAACAAGAGAATTTGTGAATTTATTATGTTGTCTTCGCTAATGGTCATCAACTCCAAGATCTAACTCATGCATGTAATTTACACGCTGAGACTATACAATCAGTATTAAATGTTCATGTTATCAGTGTTCGAAATTTTCGTATTCAAATCCGTGTTTGTTTGCTATTCAGACTATTACATATGGGATAAAACGCAGTCTGTAGAATTTTACTATTCAAATCTCCTACAAGATGTAGGGACTTTAGTTTTCCACTGTCAAATCTCTTCATTGTCATTCTAGTGGGGGCAATGGATTGATAGGGGAATAATTTTAACCTCATTGATTTTTCTATGCAGGGTGTTAAATAAGCGAAATTGGATGTAATATGTACAATGATGTAGCAAGTTCAGTTACATTTTAAAATGAGTTTTAAAAGAAATTATTCAGCAAAGGTGCGTTAAATTGACAGTAAAAAGTGACAGTAAAGACATCTATAATGTTATAAACGATTTCTATCTTTGGCAAAAAAAAGCAGCACAAATGTTTTAGCATAAAATTGCCATATTAGAAGGATTTCTGAAGGATATATATGAAGAGTTCAGATGCAAAAGCCTCTAAATGCCATTTGAAATTTTCTTCTTTAACGATGATTTTTGTCAAACTTCTATATTTAAGTTCAGTAATTTCACTTAAATAACAATTAATAGGTAATTATCATTGCCATTTAAGTGAAAATCAGCTGAACTTAAATATACAAGCTTGATAAAAATGATCATTCTAGAAGAAAATTTCAAATGGCACTTAGAGGCTTTTGCATCTGAACTCTTCATATATATATATATATATATATATATATATTATATATATATATTATATATACTTTGTATATATAAGGGTATTTTTGTTCAGATAAATGCAGCCTGCATAAGAAAACTTTAATCTTACCAACTCTAAACTTTTGAACGGTAGTATTGTTGAGAATGTTATTTCATTATTCTATATTTTATTACATTTATTTTTGGCAGGAATAATCCTTATGAGGTTCTTTATTTTTGTCTGGGCCACTGTGAATCGTAGAGTGAGATGAAAATGCAATAAAATGCAATAAATTATATTAAATATGTAAATTAAATACATTTTGCATCTTATATTTATTTAAGTTAAAATGTACAGGTATATTTATTGAGAATATATTTAAATTATCTTTCAAAACTGCGCATAGTTTCAAAAAATTAAAATGGATATGTAGTCATTTTGAATAGCCTACATTTGTCCAGTGAAAAGTCTTTAGTTTCAACCTCCTCCTAAACTGTCTTTCAGAAGACCACGTGACAGCACAGATGCGGAATGGCATTCTTCCCATTCTTCCCCTGTGTGTGTTTACCAAATCACCGCCATGCCTTGCATATTGCTGAACCTTTGTGAATATGACACACAAAAACTCGTCAAAATCAAGAGCGTCAGACTTGGGTCGCTGAAATGGACTTTAAACGCAGTGATCTTGATGTTCATTTGGTAAGTGCCTGAGCAGTTTGTCTCCGCTGTTGTTCATGCTTGTCGTCGCCTCCGCATCATTTAATAACAAGAGCTCATTCATGTACATTCATTTACACGCTGTGTTTAAATGTAACGTACCGACGAAAATGAAATTACTCATTCGGATTCCTAAGTCATATTTATGTCTTTACTTTATAGTATCATGATGTTATGGAATAAGGAATACCAAGAGTATGATCTTGTAGTCAGTTCTGTCACCACAAAGGTTAAGGGAGTGGCGGAGATATCTATACCAGACATTGGAGAAGTCGTGTGGGATGTTGTGGACTACAGTGGACTATCGCAGGTAACACTACTACCATTTATTATTATTTATGTACTTTACCATTAAGTGTGTACTTTCTTAAGCTAAAAAAATTGCTTAAAAAGAAACGTAATTAGGAACTAGTTTTGCACTTAAAGTTTGTTACTGATACTTTTATATACTAAAAAAGTGGGCCAATTTAGTCCCAAGCAGTATTAAAATAGTACACAAGTTTACTACTAGTACATATTGACATTATACTTTCTACATAATGTATACTAAAAAAATATACTTGAACATTACTTAAGCATACTTCATAAAAATGAACTTGAAGTATGCTTATTTTCGAAAGGGTAATGCAACAAGAGGCTTGGTGCGATTTGTAGTTAAAATCAGCCTGTTTTTGAGAAGTATATGAAATGTAGACTGAAAGCATGCTTTCTTATTTTTTAGTTGAAAAGTATACTTACATAACACTTGAATAAACATATTTTTCATAAGGGAAATTAATATCGCTGTGTGCAAGATCAGGTTCAGTTGCATATGCATATTTTATTTACTCTATAAGCTATTCCACCTGAAAGCTTGTTACTATAAAGTTTGTAAGACAATGTGAAATAGTATGTTTTTTTGAAGTATTTAATAAGCTACTCAATCAAAATAATAGGCTAAACTCAAGTTCAACCCAATAATACTTAGAATACCTAATTATACTTTTAAGAATATCTCAATCAACAACCAAATATACTTACTTTTCTGTCAGTATAAGTCAAGTAAACTTAAGTGCAATTTGGAGTATTTTTCTGAGAAGTACATAAAAAGTAGACTGAAAGTATACTAATACTAATAGCTCACTTGAATAAACTTCTTTTTCATAAGGGAACTCAGACCTAGACAGAAACCGCTTTCACATGGAAACATTTGCTAATAATGGGAATTTGAAGTTTACACCTTTAGAAGGCAGGCTACCATTTGCCTGGAAGACACTGTAAGAAAAATATCTCTAAACTCTTAAAAACTTGATCACCTTTTGTTTTACTTCTTTGGGGATTAGGCATTTGTACCAGTCGCACTGAGACATTCCAAATGATACCAAACATGTATAGTGTTGTATGATAATTGTTCACATTAAACCATATACACTCCTGGCCACTTCATGCGTTTTCTGTGATCGTATAGCTATCCGATCGTGAAAATAACAGGTGTAAATGCCCTTCGAAGCGCATTCGAGACGGATTTGAATCCAATCGCTCAAATCACTTCAGGAGGTGGTCTGGGCCGCATTCCAGAAATGCATCTGGTTGTTGAAACCACATATGTAAATTTAAAATTTTTACAAATATATGTGTGAGAGCGTTTTATAGGCTATATACGTCATGTTATAGTCAGATATGATGGCGCTACTGCGACACGCATCATCTCAGATGAGCAACTGAGTGTCTATTCTTCAAGCCAACGTGACACAAACTATCGCAAATCAAAGTGAAATTAAGTCACAGACGCTTAACACACAATCATCTTCATTAAATGTTAAGAAACAAAATGAACTTACCAGTTCTGTTATCTTTGATTTTGAAATTAGCTGATGATCAATAAAATGCAGCAATATCTGTTGCTTTCTGTGACGTGCATTCTGCATTGAAGATCGGATTTATATCCATTTTGCAAAAACACATGCATGTGACCAGGTGTAAATGGAATCGTTTTGATAAATCAGATAGCTATCCGATCTGAGAAAACGTATGAAGTGGCCAGGAGTAAACAGCCCCCAGTTGTTTTGGTGAATGTGGTGAATGAGAGAGAGATGGGAAAGAGAAAGATTTGTAAATTGGGAGGGGATCAACTCAAGTTTGATCATGTCTCGATTGGGGATGTTAATATAGCAAGAGAGTTCAGATGTTAATTTCTTTTGTTTACTCAGAGAGTTGCCATCTCTTCTAGTTCTTCCAGTTTTTCCAGTCTTACACCACAAATAAATAGTTCTTAAGCAGATTTAGGTTTGTATTCCAATAACTCTTGAAAACAAGTTCAAAAGTCATGAAATATTGTTCTTGTTTTACTTCGGCAGGGAAAAAACTCATTTTTTGTCGCGACAAATGTCATAGTCACAAAGAACCAAAAACAAGGTAAATGCCCAGAGGTAAGTGCATTTTTATTTCAGTTGCAATACGAAGTATATCTCAAGGCTTGCGGATTTATTTAATATATATATATATATATATATATATATATATATATATACATAAATATATATATATACATATATATACACACACACATATATATATATATATATATATATATATGTATTTCCATTGTGGCTCATTATATTTAGTGATGATTCAATCTCCATTGTCCTTAAACCAAATATAATCCATTCGACAGATGTTCATTTGTTCTACTTCAGGTCCCACCTCATGGAAAGCTGTGTCGAACAGACAAAGACTGCGAGAAAGGGTTTTCTGACCAACATAACCATGGTAATATGAAGATGCAATTTGTGTCCTGGCTGCAGATTTGTTTTGCAGAACCATTTCAATGCCAGACCAATCAATCATTTCTTTGAATATTTGAATAATACTACCCAAGCTGTATTTTCTATTGTTCAGTGAAAGCCTAAACCATTATCTGAAGTCTTTCCATGATCTGAGGTCTGTTCCTGTGTTTGCTTCTAAGGTGTTCAAACAGGTCTGTGTGTGAAATTGGACGTAGTGAGGAAAACATGTGAAGTTAGAACTTGGTGCCCCATTGAGAACAAGAAGAATCCCAGGTGCTGTAATGTACAATAATACTTTAGAATAAAAATACTGTGTCAGCGAAGCTATTTGGCAATAGAGAAATGCTGCTAAAGGAGTTAAAACAGTTGACACTGCAGTTTAGACTTATCAGTGCTGGCATTGAGACCTTTGAGGAACCTGTTTGAGGAACATGCACTTTTATTTGCTACTTTGACATAAACTGAGATTCTGTATATGGATGTTTTCTTATGCCAGGCTTTCATTTCTGTTTCCCCAGACCTGCTATTTTAGCATCTGCAGAAAATTTCACTGTGATGATCAAGAATAACATCAGATTTCCAGCCTTTAATTACATAAGGTAGTACATAAGTTGCATTTTCTGATTTGCAAATTTGGTGCATTAAAATTCTTTAAGCATATGTGAACAGTTAGCAGTATTTGAAGTAAATGCTAGCCAGAATACCGAGGGTGATATTCAATTATTCAAAAACTGATACATCATCCATTTATCTATTTGTCTTAGAAGAAACATCCTCCCTGAAATGAAGGACACTGACCTTAAAGGTTGCATCTATAACCGCTATAAAAATCCATACTGCCCCATTTTCCGTTTGGGAGACATTGTGAGTGAGGCCAAGGAGAACTTTACAGAGATGGCAGTGGAGGTAAATGCCTTTCGTTCCACGCACACTAAAATATACACTTATGTTCAAAAACAAACATTAAAGGAAGTCTCTAATGTTAAGAAAGGCTGCATATATCTGATCAAAACAGTAATATTGTGAAATATTTGCAATTTAAATATTTTAAAATGTAATTTCATATGATGGCAAAGCAGCCTTTAATCCAGTCTTCAGTGTCACATGCAGTGTTATTTTAGTATTATTGATATACTATTATAGTTTTTGTTAATATTTTGAAATAGATATTTTTTAAATATTTTCTTTTTTCACTTTAATTTTAAATAAAAAAATTTTTTTAAATTTTTTTATCAAATGTTAATTTTTTTTCTCTCGTTATTTTAGTACTATGATTTAAGTAAAGGAAAGTAAAAGGAAAATGTTGCTTCGGCAACTAGCTGAAATAAAATAAGTTTTTTATTTTAGTTTAAAATTGTATTTTATTTCAGTTAATGTTATTTAGTGATAACCCTGGTCACATGAACTTTCAGAAATAATTCTAATATGCTTATTTTGTGCTCAAGAAACATTTCTTATTATTAGCAAAAATGAAAACAGTTGTCCTGCTTAATGGTTTTGTGGAAACTGATACCAATTATTTTCTGATGAATAAAAAGTTCAAAAGAACAGCATTTATTTGAAATAGAAATCTTTTGTAACATTATATATATGTCTTTATTTGCAATTTTGATAAATTTAATGCATTCTTACTGATTGAAAGTATTTATTTCTTTAAAAAAGACATGTTACAGACCCCAAATTTATGAACGGTAGTGTATTTGTGTAATTTAGTTATAAAGCATGCCAGTATAGCCTTGTCCATGTATCTGCTTCACAGGGTGGTGTAATTGGGATTCAGATCAACTGGGACTGTGACCTGAACCGCATTTTTCACAACTGTCTGCCCAAATACTCGTTCCGTCGCTTGGACGAAAAAGAAAGCAACCGAACCTTGTACCCTGGGCTCAACTTCAGGTATGAACAACTGAAATCCTACTGAAAAGTATGTGAACTCTTAAACAGTCCTTTCTTAAAGATGTTTTTTTTTTTGTAGGTTTGCGAGATACTCTACAGTGAATGGTGTGGAGCAGAGAACACTCTTTAAAATGTATGGCATTAGGTTTGATGTGATGGTGTTTGGGAAGGTAAGATCATATTATCCTATACTGTCATAACTTTGCATGTTTGCTTTGGATTTTAGGGCATACAAAGAGTGCTCTTTATTCTTCACAGGCTGGAAAATTCAGCATCATTCAGCTAATTATCTACATTGGATCCACGCTCTCGTATTATGCTCTCGTGAGTAATCCTTAAGCCCTGAGATGGTGATTTTAAAATAATGAAACATTTACCAATGAATTTTCTTTAGACAACAATATTCCTAGACTGGCTTATTGGTACCGGCTGCTATTCCAAAGAGGCAAAGCAGACCTACACTGAGAGGAAGTATGAGGCCATTCAGGATCGAGAAGAGGTGAACACATTAAAAACACTGACTCAGTTTGTTGTGTGGCACACTTTTCATGTTGTAACTGGGATTCTGTATGTATGAATCTATCTTGTTGTAATGTGGCTCTACAGTGCTTCCTTTGTGTGTCATTTGTGGATGAGGACAAGTTGAGGGTGGTGAAAAAATCCAGAAAGAAAAGACTACAAGAGACGAAACCCCTTTCCTTACACCAGCGCAAAGTAAGATGCCTAAATTATATTGCCACACTTGCTACTTTAAATCTAAATAAAGCATTATTTTAGTTTTAAAACTGTACTAAAAGACAAGTTAATCTAAAAAAGAAAGTTGTGTCATTATTTACTCATTCTTATGCCATTACAAGCCTCTATGACTAACTTTTTACCACATAAAAACAATGAATTCAATACAATGGCAATACATTCTGACTCACTTTAACATTAGTAAAGCACCCAGAAGTGTCAGCATGCTCCTGTTATTTAAGCAAAAATATTGTAAAATTGTACATGGCAAAATCCTGTGCACCATCAAGGAATCTTTTACACTGATTTTACGCATCATTTTACTGCTAAAATTCTGAAAATTGTGTTAAAATACTGTGAAAATGACCAGCAAACAGCATGTACCATTTCGCTGAAATGCTTTAGTGCTTTCATAAGCGTCAGTGTACTGTATGTACTGAAATTGTTTTGAATTCATTCATGTATCTAGGTTTTTTGTTTAGAACAATGTTAGGGTAAGTAAATAATAACTTTCATTTTCCCCAAATGTTTTTTTTTGGTCAGACTATATTAATTTATTATATCACAAATTAAATAATCAGTCAGATACTATAATCTTTTGAACTAGTTCTTATTAATTTTTTTTTCCAATTTCATTAAAAACTTTTATTAGAATTGTTTTTTGTAATGTCTATATAGTTTATATTAATTTTATTTTAAGGGTTTTTTTGTGTTAAACTAAATGAAAATGAGATGTTGCCTCACCAACTAGTTGAAATAAAATTTAATATTTTATTTCAGTTAGCATTTATATTTTTTTCATGTTTTTGATTGTTTTAGTTTTAGGGGCTGTTTACACAACTTTTTATGTGTTTTTAGGGGCTGTTTACACAACTTTTTATGTGTTTTGGCCGTTGATTTACACGACAAAGATGTTTCGGGGGCCTGAAAATGCATAATTTTGAAAACAGGTTTCACAGAGCAAGTTTTTTAAAACAATGCCATTTATTTTTGTGTAAATTACAAAAACGCGAATTTGTGAAAAAGCGTCGTCATGCTCATGCATATTACGTGTTCAGTCTATAGGGGTGTGGTGTTTATTTATAAAGTTACATCGCCAACTACTGGCCTGGATGCATTATACAGTATTTTTTTATCATTTTCGTGGATCCGATCGTTTTAACAACATTGTCGTCTATAAGCAAAAAACGTTTCCGTTTTTACTTCATCGTTGTCGTGTAAACGTACCCATAGGTACTTATAACAGCCCTGGTCTGTTCTCTATCAGAATGATTTGGCGAGCATGACGACTCTGCAGTGTGAACAAAGGAGAAGCGAGCCAGTACAAAATGGCCAGGGGGTGGACTTATGGTAGATGAAAACCTTCCCAGAAGGCACAGCAGTGGACAGGACACAGATACACCATTACTGGAGATGTCACAGTCTGGGTGTCCGGCCTGGTGTCAGTGTGGCTGCTGCCAGCTTTCAGACATCCTGCACGAGCAGCTGTGCTGTCGATCAGGAAAAGGGCGCTGCATAACCTCCTCTCCACTCTTTTCAACACTGGTTGTCAGTCGCTCTGTCTTGGAGACTGCTTTGTTCTATGTGGATCCCCTAGCAGAGCCGCAAGAGGAGGCTCTGCGGCATGCGGCCTACGCTCAATTCATTAGATGGCGGTTTGGTGATGGCACACCCAGAGATGCTATTCCAGTAATACCCAGTTGCTGCATATGGAGGATAAGAGAACCATACCCAAGCCCTGATGGGAAATACACTGGCCTTAGACTTTATCCGGCCGTACCATCTCAGCCAGAATTCAACAGATAACAGACTTTATTTCTTTAATAAATATTCAATCAGAATGAAAATATCTTTTGATTATGCATAAAAGGGAATGCTACTAACTACAATCAGTAAAACAAAATATGATGGGCCATTTTTACAATTTTAACCTGCAAAGCAAACAAACTATGAATCATGTTAACCTCAAAAAGATGATCATGTCATTAAGTTGTTTACTAACACAGATGCCTTTGAAGTAATACAATAATAATAATAATGAATCCAGAGGTCAAGAATGCACAACCAAACTGGTTTACTAATGACACTCATAAACCATAAATAAGTATGTTATGTATTAATCAAATGTGATGAATAAAATTGAGTAAACAGTAATGTTCAAAAGTTTGGTCAGTAAGGTGTTTTTTTTTTTCAAAGAAATTAATACTTTTATTTAGGAAGGATGCATTTAATTGATCAAAATATTGTGCTGCATAATATAGGCCTATCATAAAAATAATAAGCAGCACAACTGTTTTCAACATATATAATAATAAATGTTTCTTGAGCAGCAAATCAGCATATTCGAAAGATTTTTGAAGGATCATGTGACACTGAAGGATTGATTAATGATGCTGAAAATTCAGCTGCCATTCCAAGATTTAAATTGTAATAATATTTTAGAATAATGTAATTTTTCTGTATTTTTTATCAAAGAAATGCAGCCTTATTGAGTTTAAGAGACTTCTTTCAAAAATATATTAAAAACCCTTACCTTTGCCAAACTTTTGAACGGTAGCCTACTGTATGAAGAAAATACAAGAGCATATTTGATGCTTGCTGATGATTTTAAGTGTAAAGTGTCCAGTCCATTCCATCATGGAGTCCCATATGAGGTGCTCTCCATGGAGCTCTGTATCAGTAAAAAAAATATATATATAAATATTTAATTTTGCAAAACAATAAATAAATCATTTAGAAAAATTTAAGTTGACTTTTACTCACCAATGGCACACCATCAATTTTTTGGTCCAGGTGAATAAATTTATGTTTGGCATAGTCACGGTCCTTTATACAAGTAAGCATGAACCAGTCACAAACAGCATTAACCTGGGAAAAATTCAGGAAAAAAAATAAAATACTTGATTCAAAGTCATTTTCCTCAAATAGGTGATTAAAAAAATAAAAATAAAATTAGTGCTTACCAAGCTAAGAAAGGTAAGAGAGGCCCCAAGATTCACAATAGTGGGCATAATATGGAATTTACCAGCCTAAAGACACAAAACAAAACACAGTACACAAATCTGAAGGTTGACTAAGATGGCTATTATATCATGCTTTAGAGACTAGCAGACAAACCTTCCCAAACACAATCACATCAAAGCGGATGCCAAAGCCCTTTATCAATGTCCGTGTTTCAATGCTTTCATTGTTTTTATAATATTTCGCATATCTGTGGGAAAGTACAAAGTTGTTATCCAATAGAAATAAAGATAGCTTTAAATACTAAACATTACAGTAAAAAATATCAATGTTAAATGTACCGGAAATTGTAGCCAGGGGCAACGTTATTTTCAGGATTTTTGTTGTCCAGTCTGCTGAAAGAATATTTCGGAATGCAGAAGCGTTCTGGGTAGTCCAAGTTACAACTCCAGTCAATGAAAATCCCTATATTACCACCCTTTAACATTAAAACACACTGTCAATTACAAGTAAAATAAAAGTTAAAAAGCAAAATACTAAAAATAAATACACTATTGTTCAAACGTTTGGGGTTGGTTTGAAGTCTCTTATGCTTATACACACACACACACACATATATATATAAACAATATGTTATCAATTTGCTCAACTGTATAATCTGTCAGTAGCACCTCAATGCAGTACATGAGATCCACAGGGAGGAGTCGCATCAAGATCCAAGGGGTGGAGATGGGTTGGATTAGGGTGGGGTTTAGGATTCAGAGGGCGGGGTTGGGTAGGTTTATATATGTATGTAAGGTGGGAGGAGTTGGATCTGGATCCGACTCCTCCCCGTAGATTTCATGTTCTGCAGTGAGAACCATCTCTAATCTGTTTCATGAAACTATAGATGGCTTATAGGTCCTTAACCAGGGGTGCAGGGGTTCACCACATTTGAATAAGTAAGTGATAAAGTACATCCAGCCGGTTATCACAAAATAAACCCCGACAGGATGATCAGGACCCCAGCTTGCTGTTTAACCTTCTAATAGTTGGTGGCAGTAGCATCTACTAGCAAGAGGGTATTCCAGAAAGCAAGGTTATCCCATCAAACATGCACTGAACTCTTGGTTGATTAACCCAATCCTTGCTTACTCAAAGTATTCTGGTTCAAAAAAGCATCCGGGATTAAGTTCCAACCCAGAATTATGTTCACGGTTAACATACAAGACATTCTCAACAGATCGACGAATCGATGAGTCACCACGGAATGATGGAAACGACGATAAGAAAAGCACGCCACACCACTACTTTTAATGTCGATTTACATACTTGGTGAATATTGCCCCTATTTAGTAGTTGTGTAATCAGTTTTAAATATTTTTGTTGAATAATCTTTAATCACTGTGAATAAGAACTATATTGTTTGATGCTAATTTTACAATACAAAGTAAGTGATTCAACTAAATAAGTGTGTGCTTGCAAAGATAACATGGCTGTAAAAGTTTATTTTTTATGTTTTGTCATTTTGCTTCTACATTGCTTGAAAGGTAAGGTACTGTAAATCATATATATATATATATATGATTATGTTATTTGATTATATCACATATGTTTTTTAATATAGAAAAACATAACATAGAAAACGTCTGGTTGGGGAAAAAAACGTCTGAATGTAGATCAACGATGTGTGAGATGCTATATATATATATATATATATATATATATATATATATTATACTAAAAAATAAACATTACCTTGTTTTAATAGTGCTTTAGCCATTTATAATATTGTGCGTTTCGGAACCTCAGTGCCTGTTGCCACCAAGACACCAAGTCTTGCTGCAGGTCTTTCGCAGTCACTCGAAGGTTTTCCTGAACCTGCCTTCTCATAAATCTCATGGCAACTACTGATAGCTTCCTTTTTCTGCCCCGTCCAGGTAGTGTAACCATTGTTGCTTTAACTTTAAACTTGTGGCCTATGCTTCCAACGGTGTCTATAGGAACATTTAGTGCCTTTGCTATCTTTTTGTATCCTGTTCCTAGTTTGTGAAGGCTGATGATATACTCTTAACTATTTGGACCATTCTTTTGACTTCTAACATGCAGACAAATGTGACACTCAACAAACCTAGCCAGATCAGGCATTTCATTTAACTCAAGAACATCTGGTGCAACTTATGAAGCCTGTGATGACTTTGCATTAGGTGTGCTTGAGCCAACTGATTGATTTGTGCTGTTGTGAGGAATTCTATTCAGGGAGTTGATTAATTTTTAGAAGAATTTAATTTTTAAAAGTTGCATTTTCAGTTGATTTGGGGAAACCACTTGGAACATTTGTTGTGTTGAGCTATTTCAATTACTTGTGTTTACAGACTTAATGCCAATAAACCTGATTTGCAATAGGGGTTGAATAATTTTGATTTAACTGTATAGTATTATTGAAGATACAGACTTTTAAAGCAATGACGCTGAAGTCTTCTCCTGCCTCGGTTACAATGTCCCCCAGACGGAAAATAGGACAGTGTGGGTCTGTTTTACGGTTAAACGTGCAGTTTTTTAAGTATGTGGAGTTGATGTGTTGCAGAATGTTTCGCCTAAAAATAACACAAAACATAACATTGAAAGGATCAAATTCACATAGCTCAAATTTTAATTTAAAATAATGTTTCTCTCTCAACCAGTCATCATTGAATGATTACCATGTTGTTTCTGTTCATCTATGAGTAAAGTCAATGAAAAATTAACAAACTTACTTTCTTAAATTAAACTTTGGATATTGTATGATGTTTTTGATGAGCACTGTGAAGTCCTCCGCCGCACTTAGAATAGCAGGTCTGTATGATCACAAACTATATTAATATTCCCAGTTTCGATTGTGCAAATGCCATCAAACTTGTTCACTTTTACTAAATAAACTCACTTTGGAATGATGGTATCATGTTCAAGTGGACACCATGACATCACCTCACAGGTTTTGATTGTATCCGAGTATTGGACACATCGGCCAGTCTGAACACCTGCGAGGAGGATCACAGAGATTGCTATGTGGCATTGATTTGCATCTTACATTTGTAATATCACGCAGCATCATGCAGAACATGAAAACTCACCATTGCCACGGATTTCATTGAATCCCTCTTTACAATCACTGTCTGATTTACAAATAGTGAATTCACTTGGGATCTGTAAAAATTAATCATTCATAATGCAATATGCAACGGTCCTATCGTGTTTGAGAGTGGACATATGCAAATCTGTTTTATCATACCTCAGGACAGCTGCTCTGGGTCTGGTCAGGAGTGACAATCATATTTGTTAACACAAAGAAAGAGTTTTCTCCCTACAAAAAAAAAAAAAAAAAAAAGAATGCTTGAATGTGGTATTAATTTCCACAAAATGCATACGTCTGTTGGACAAGCAAATGAAACCACTGTATTTCCTTTGCAATGGGTTTCTGTCAAATAAATTAGATACCTGGGGTGGGATGACATATTCAGATACGTCCCAAACATGAACTCCCTCACTGGATGAATTGGTCAAAATGTTTCCTTTCACCTTAGTGCTGACTGAGCTGATCACCGAGTCATTGTCCTGGTAAGCACGCTGATACCAGCAGACATATCTTTAAAAAGTATACAGATATGGAACCCTGAACATCCAAGACTGCATTAAATTTCAAGGAGAACATGTGTGTTAGTAATATACAGTACAAAAGCCTTTTGTATTTTCACCCTAAGAAAATTGTTTTGTTTTATATCTTTTTCTGTAGTATGTCAGTGGGAAATGTCATATATACTTTTCCAAACATTGCTTTTGCCATTAATTGTAATAATCCAGTGAGATTTTTGTATGCACAAGGAGTCTGACAACAGCCGTTGCTCCACACGAAGATCTGATCTCGCCATCATCGTGTTTATCTGTGATCACATGAAAAAAAAAAAAAAAAAAAAAAAAAACTATGCACATGTCTACCTAGGACAAAAAAGGTTTTAAACATAAAGAGTGGACCACCAAATATTGATTTGATTTAGATCATAGAAGTTAATTGATAAATAAAATCTATTTATGACATTATTTTTGAAAGCATCCTCACTTTACAGAATTTTTACACAAGTGCCTAAAACCTAAAAAGAGTCTTGGAGTCGTTGCCGCAGTCCTTCTGGATTTAGTCTGTTTCAGTTTTTTCCCCCATGTGAACAGAGAGACTTGATGGTGAGATCAGATCTCCATGTGGAGTACCAGCTGCTGTCAGACTCCTTCTGCATACAAAAATCTCACTGGATTATTACAAAATGAATGTTTTGAAATGTTAACTGATATTTGCTACTGAAACACAACAGCAAAAGATTAAAATACTAATGCGTCTAAGATTTTGCACAGCACTGTACTACAATAGGCTTGCCAAGCTCTAATTCAGGGGCATCCATACCAAACCTGCTCCTGGAGTAAGTGTGTTAAGAGCTGGTTGGAGCTAAACTCTGCAATGATGCTGGCCCTCCTGGAGCAGGAACGGACACCCCGTACGAATTAAATCAACTTATATTCTTATTGACAGTGACTTAAAGATTAAATGAATACAAGTAGATGTAATCAATATTTCTTTTGAAGTGCAATAAGGCTATGCATTGTCTTAAAATATACTCACATGGCGACATAGGCGATGAT